GAATGATAACTAAATAGGAATGCGGGGGGGGGGGGTACAAACTTTTTTTTGTGTTTTTGGGTTTTTTTCCCCCTTTTTTTTTTTTTTTTTTTTCCCGAGACAGGTTTTCTCTGTGTAGCTTTACACCTTTTCTGGAACTCGTTTTGAAGACCAGGCTGGCCTCGAACTCACAGAGATCCTCCTGCCTCTGCCTCCCAAGTGCTGGGATTAAAGGTGTGCACCACCACCACCACCACCACCACCACCACCACCACCACCACCACCACCACCACCCAGCCTCAAACTTTTGTTACTTAATTTCTCATTTACATGTCACCAAACATAATCATAATTGATAAAGCTAAAAATAAATTTCCTGGGGCAGCAAGCTGGCCCAACCTGTGTTCAATCCCTGGAAGCCACATGGTAGAAGGAGAAAATCAGCTCCTGCAGGTTGTCCTCTGACAGCTGTGACAGGCATGTGTGTGCTGGCTAGTTTATGTCAACTTAAGACAAGCTAGAGCCATTTTGGGAAAAGAAACCTCAATGGAGACAATATCCCCAGCAGACTGGTCTGCGGGCAAGCCTGGAGTGCACTTTCTTGACGACTGATGTGAAAGGCCAGCTCACGGTGGGTCGTGCCACCTATGGGCTGGTGGTCCTGGGTGCTATAAGAAGACAGGCTAAGCAAGCCTTAAGGAACAAGCCAGTAAGCAGTGTTTTTCTATGGCCACTGTATCAGTTCCAGTCTTCAGGCTCCTCCTGCCTTGAGTTCCTGCCCTATCTTCCCTAGACAACAGACTACAATCCAGAAAGATGAAATAAACCCTTTCCTTCCCAAGTCTTTCCTTTTGTCACAGTGTTCTATTGTAACAACAGAAACACTAAGACAACAACATGCCTACACATGGATATGTACAACAACAAAAATTTAGAAGCAATAAAATTCTTAATTAAAAATAAACTCTCGTTGGGCGGTGGTGGCGCACGACTTTAATCCCAGCACTCGGGAGGCAGAGGCAAGTGGATCTCTGTGAGTTCGAGGCCCGCCTGGTCTATAGAGAGATCCAGGAAAGGCGCAGAGCTACACAGAGAAACCCTGGGGGGGGGGGGGGCCACACACGACGGGAACAGACACGACTCTCACTGGTCATAGCAATGCATGCATGCCCTTTATCCCAACACTCGGGAGGCAGAGGCAGGCGGATCTCTGTGAGTTCAAGGCCAGCCTGGTCTACAGAGCTAATTTTTGTTTTTGTTTGTTTGAAGATTTATTTATTTATTTAATGTACATGAGTGCTCTATCTGCATGTACAACTTTATGCCAGAAGAGGGTCTCAGATCCCACTACAAATGTTTGTGAGCCACCATGTGGTTGCTGGGAATTGATCTCAGGACCTCTGCAAGTACAACCAGTATTCTTAACAGCTCAGCCATCTCTCCAGCCCCAGAGCTAGTTCTAGGACAACCAAGGCTACACAGAGAAACTCTGTCTCAAAACAAACATACATACATACATACATACTTACATACATACATACTTACATACATACATAAAATAGTAACGATAAACTCCCTATAATCTCAGCAGTCAGAAGACTAAGAAGAAGCCTGCAAGTTCAAAATCAGGCTGGCTACATAGTAACACCCTGTCTCAAACAAATAAATAAATGAATAAAACAAAAACAAAACCTGAACAATGAAAGTTTTCCTTTAGCTTCAGATTTGAAACCTGGTGTCAACAATGGTCATTTGTGGGGCTGGAGAGATGTCTCTGCTAAAAGTGAGTACTGCTCTTGAGAGGACCTGAATTTAATTCCCAGCACCCACATCAGCTCACAACTGCCTATACTCAGCTCCAGGGGGTACTGACTCCTGTCTCTGTGGCTACCTGCACATATACCCTGTACATATACCCTGACACAGATTCACAAACACACACACATATATACATAAAACTGAAAAGAAAATAAATCTTAAGTTAAAAAAAAGCCACCTGTGGGCTCAGTAATCCACTGCTATCTAGCATACACAAGGCCTTGTGTTTGATCCCTAGCACAGAAAATAGAAAGTCATTCTGGCTGTGTCTCCCAGAGGCTCAGCTGTTGACCAGGGTCCCTAGTTGGTAGTATTCATTGCGGAGACGGGCCAGGCGTGCTGGAACACTGCTGGTGGGTTGTGAGAGCTTACAGCCTTGCCCGACTTCCAATTAGCTTTCTCTGTTCTCTGCTTCCTGTGTGCGAATGGAGATGTGAGCTCTCACCGTCCTGCCTGTCCCTACTGCCTCGTCTGCTGCTTGGCTCCACGCCCCTCCAGCATGATAGTCTCCCATCTATATGTAACCCTCTATAGGTTGCTTTTAGTTGTGGTATTTTCTCATAGCAACAGAAAAGTAACTAATACATTTTGTTAACTCACTGCTTCGTCATCAATGAAGGAGGCATCTGGGGCGATTTCCTGGGGAGGGACCAGAGTCGGGTCTGGTGCAGGATAGTAGCCACCACTGTAATAATCCTAGAGTCGAAACAGAAAACATACAACTGAAGGCACAATGGAGACAAAACAGGCAAACTGCATGGAAAACGCAGGAGAGATGCCCACACCAAAGTCTCCCGAGGACCTCGGGCTCACCACCAGTCCCTGCAGCTCCCTTGTCTACACCATCCAGGCAGGGGGCGCTTGTTTAGGGAAGGGTGGCAAATACACATTCTCTCCTGCTGTGCCCTGTTCCCTTAGCTCCTTCCCAAGATAACCCACACCTCACCTCTCCAGTGCCTTAGCCAGGCCTGACCTGTTCCTGAGATCCAACAAGCTCTGCCATGAGCAGGCAGGAAAAGGCAGTGGTGTCAGATCAAGCCATTCCAGCCTCCTCCTGCCCACACTGGACAGTTTCACTGACTGGCTAGCTGGTGTGATCCAACAGTCAGAAAAGGTACAAACATGTACCATGAGCTACTTGTTGCTGGATATGGTAGCGCACACCTTTAATCCAAGAACTCAGGAGGCAGAGGCAGGCAGATCTCTGAGTTCAAGGCCAGTCTGGTCTATGTAGAAAGTTCCAGGACAGCCAGAATTCCACAGGGAGACCCTGTCTCAAAAATAAAAACTGTTTGTAAGAGTGTGTACTTGATGGGACATGGATGCAGAGTCTAGAGGAAGACAAAGTGAAGGCAAGGGCAAGCCTGGTCCCTGTGGCTAGCAACTGTTCTCCCTTGCTGCCACTACTTGTCTTCGGAGATAGCATCTCATTACGTAGCCCTAACTCCCCTTCTCTGCCTCAGTACACCAACACACTCAAGTACACCAGCACACTCAAGTATACCAACACACTCAAGTTGCGTGTACTGTCCTTTGCCTGAAAGGCCCCTAAGAGCGTGTATTCTTTGTGTTTTGGGTTTTTTTGTTTTGTTTTGTTTTTGTCTTTTGAAACAGGGTTTCTCTGCGTAGCTTTGGAGCCTGTCCTGCAACTTGTTCTGTAGCCCAGGCTGGCCTTGAACTCACAGAGATCCGCCTGCCTCTGCCTCCAGAGTGCTGGGATTAAAGGTGTGCGCCACCACCGCCCAGCCAAGAACATTCATCTTATAATGAACTAAATGGAAAACATGCTTCATATTCATTATACAGAAAGGCAGAACATAAAAATCCAAAGCACAGCTGGGTGTGGCAGTGTACACCTGTAATCACAGCACTGGGGAGGTTGAAAAGGACGGGAAAGGAGGGAAAGAACGAAGAAAAAAGGAGGAAGAGGAAAACATCCACTGTGAAAAAATTTATTTTTTCCTATCAATGGTAGTTAGTCCCACAAGAGTTCATAATCCCTGAACTACCCCCTTCTCTTAGCCAATCAGATTGTGAAGTTGAGCGTCTGTCTACCAATGGGATAAGATACAAGTCACCACCTGAGTTAAGGATAAAAGACAAGAGGCCATCTTGGCGTTGTGTGCTGGCTAGCTAGGTGGACTGCTGGGGACCTGTTTTGTTTGTGTGCTCCTTTATGTGAAAATAACTGCTACTCAGAAGCTTACACCAAACTTGCCTGTTCCTCAATATCCACATTCACAGAGGCATTTCTTAGTTCTAAGATTATAGACCATTCCTCTCGGAAAAAACAAAACACCGTTTAGTCCCCCGCCTGTGGTACTACTGGGAAGTGGTGGACCTTTAAGAGGTGGAGCTTATTGGAAGGAAGGAAGATAGTGGTGTGAAACTGTCGGGAATACTGGGATCCTAGCCCCTTTTCTCTTAGCTTCTTCTGAGGCAGTCTCGTGATACACTGCCCAAAAGTAATGTAGCAGATGTACGCCCAGAGGCCCAAAAGAAACGGAGCAAAGCAACCACGGACCAGATCCTGAGAACCCGAGCCCAAATAAACTACACTTCTCTAACAGACACCTCAGGATTCCATCACAGTGACAGAAAGTTGACGTGCAGAATGAAAGGATCAAAGTCTGACAGGGGAGTCACCCTATCAGCCTCCCAAATACTTGGGCAATTTAGATCCATAAGGTTCAGAATGGTGGTGTGTTTTAAGACCTAGTGGGTGGGTCTAAGAAAAAAATCAAGCAAAGTGGCACACAGGCCCTATCACTGGTTCAAATTCTCTTCTAGCTCCGTGTTCAACAGTCTTGGGCCTGCCCTCTGTCCTTACCCACCTGATAATAAGCACCAGCGGCATTGGCGTCGCCATATGTGGAAAACTGATTGTAGCTGTAGTCATCCCCAGGCTTCGGCATCCAGGGGGCCCCACTGGACCCTGCTGCCATCTTAAACTCAAGGGGGGCATTGGCCGCATCGTCCTGGAAGGCTGGCTCTGGTTCCGTGCCTGGAGGCAGCTCCTCAGGGACAGTGGGGACAGGGTAAGAATATGGCTCAACTCCAGGTGGCTCAGCCTTGTCAGGGAGGGAGAAAAAGTTCTCAGGAGCAACCTCCTCATCACTGTCGTCATCCTCCTGTGTGATCTGCTTCGTCACCTGCAGGGCAGCACTCTTGGCAGCAGCCTTGATGGCAGAGGGTGACGGAGTGGTGGTTGTGGTGCCCAAAACAGGAGCAAGTGAGGCGGGCTTGGTCTTAGAAGCCAGTCTAGAGGGCTTAGCATCTGAGGAGACATCTGAGGGTTTCCGGGAGAAGGCATGGGGCAGGAGCAACCTGTTAGTCTCTTTCACAGTCAGGTTTTTAGGTTGGGGGAGCAAGGCAGACAAACCAGTCCCCTCGCCGGATCCCTAGTGAGCCCAGGTTTGGAATGAGAGGGAAGAGAGACAAGTGAGACTTTACGTTATGCACCAGCAACAATGACAAACAAGATCACAGGTCTGTGCTTCTCCTGAGAGCCTCACAGCCCTCAAGGCTTTGTCACCTCCATGTTCTTAACCTCTGAGCCGTCGCTCCAGCCCTCAAGTGCAGATTCTGCTCAAACAACATTCATACCTGTTGCTAAAAGTTCTGTCTGCCAACCACCCAAGGAAAGCCCTCTACAGCGTCAAGCACTTAGTATATCACTTGTACACTAATTGCCCCAGCCATCCAGAGTTCCTCTTACTCCTATCAATTGCTTGGGTTCTGCTTTCTGTCTGCTGAAGGGCCAGTCTGTCCTAAGTGTAGGGAGGTGTCAATGGGAAAAAGAGAGTGGACTAAGGTCACTGTCCTGGAGCACTAGGGTGTCTTCTTAAACAAGACTTCTGAGGCAAAGAGGCTAGGCAGGAGAGGTGTTCGGCTGGAGAAGGGCCCTTCTCAGTGTTCTCAGTACAGTTTACAGTATGGAAGGAGGTGCTGGGGTGGCAGGTGAGAGCACTGTCTAGGCCATCTTACAAGTGTTCCACTCTCAGCACCATCTGGAATCATGGCTACATCCCTCTGCAGGGCCAGATTCCCACTCTGTTTTCACAGGTCATCGCTTTGTGTTCATCTTTTTCTGCCACCATTTGCGGAATGCCTTTCAGGTAAGTCTGCCTTCTCCTCCAGGAAGCCACCTGACGAGGGAATCACTGGCCCCATTCTTCAGCGCCTCTTCCTTCTGCAGTCACTATCAACACACACCCCACATCACCCTCACCAATAGTCTTTTTGACTTCCACATGACTCTGTCCTAAGACCTGCCCAAACTAGAAGTGACACCTTAACAAAGTGGAGAAGGGACAGCATCAATATTACTTATGTGAATTCCAAGACAGCCACTTTTCCCCAGGGTTTAAGAGCAACATGAAAGCAGACAGTGCAGAGGCAACTGGAAGACACTCTGAACCAGAGTCCAGGTGCTGAGATGAGAGGTAGCCAGCCAGCAGCAGGGAGGTCACTCAGCTGGTCTGGACCACAGAGAAGCAGCCAAGGACAACAGTTTCTTGGACTCTCCAGGGCCAGCTGGACTCGAGTCAGCACACCAGACACCAGTGCAATCCCAGCTCCCCCTACGTTAGCTGTCTAACTCTGGGCCAGTCCCTCAGTTTTCTCACGTAAACTAGGATGATCATAACCTAGGATTTAGGCCCTATGGTGAAAAAGGAATCGGCTAGACACAGGTAAAGCATTTAGAAGGGTACCTAGTACGAAGTAAGTGCTACTTGAATATCTACTTCAGGTTAACACAACAGAAAGAACAGGCAATTTTACAACACAGATGCTCCTTATCATCATCTGACCAGCGTGCTTACACCTCCCTACAATCCTTCTGCCTGAAACCTAATGGACTGAATTAGGTTACAGTTCCTGTTCCTACGCTGCCTGTCCTTCCAGAAAAGTCAACTCCATGTGCTAAGGCCAGGAAGAAAGGAGAAAACGAGGGGTGCACCCGACTCAAAGCTACCTCGGAAAGCAGTCAGAGCAAGCGGTCCTCGACACCTGCAAACATGCTAGTTCTCAAATGGACACCCTGGGCACTTTAAGTCCTAGCTCTCTAGAAACAATCTGGAGAGGAGGAGGAGCTTACCTGCAGGACAGTTTTCTTCTTTGCAGGTTCATCTTCCTCAGAATCTGACTGAGACAAAAAGAACCAGAATAAAGCACAACTGTTTTAGAACAGCAGAAGAAACCCACTCAGCGAACATCTATAAAGACTGGACACCGAGGCCGCCATGTGTGCCCACTTCTGCAGAGCTGCAGCCCTAGCCAAGTGTCCTCTCTGGGCACTGCAACAGCTACAGAGGAGGAGTATGCCCTGAGCGCCTCGGTTTCTACTCTGTTAAACTGAGACTATTTCCTCCATTTGGTCCTTGGTGCGAAGAAATACTACACCTATTTTTATAAATGCATCCACTAGAAGATGAATAGGATTTGGCCCACAATCTTACCCAATCTCAGCCTCACTTTTAAAATCACTTACATAGACTACATGACCACAGAGCTGGGGCGCTCCAGTGGGATTAAGTGGTGTGTTAACTACTTCTCTATAGGGCATTAAAGGTCAAAATCGTTGGAGAAATCCATTCCCTCTCCAAGTATGATCTATTGTCTGCAGACACCATCATTCCTGGCTGGGAATGCAGGCAAACGATGGCTGAAAGGTCCTGGCTAAGAAAGGAGACCACTAACGTTAACCTTTGGACTCAACAGGACTGGATCACACTGAAAAGACCCACCTGAGCTTTTTGCCAACTGTGGTGTATGCCTTCAATATCAGCACTCAGGAGGCAGAGGTGAGCTCTTAGCCAGCCTGATGTATATAGCAAGTTCCAGATGAGCCAAAGCTACATAGTGAGACCTTGTCTCAAAACAAAAGAACAACAAAACAAAAATCAAAACCCTTGCTGGGTGGTGACGACAAATGTCTCTAAACCCAGCATTCCAGAGGCAAGAAGATCTCTGTGAATTCAAGGCCAGCCTGGTCTACAGAGTGAGTTCCAGGACAGCCAGAGCTGTTACACAGTGAAACCCTGTCTCAAAAACAAAAACAAAACAAAAACTCGAGTTTTTGTTTTGTTTTTAGATTGGGACTCCCTGTGTAGCCCTGGCTGTCCTAGACTCACTATGCAGACCACGCTGGCCTCCAGGTAACTACACCGGCTACCCTTGGGTAGCTCACTACCAGTTTCTCAACATCTTCAAATTGAGGAAAAATGAAAGGCACGAGAATAGCAAAGGCTTTTAATTGTTTTTTTAAGATTTTTAAAATCTTGCCAGATTGGGGCTGGAGAAATGGCTCAGAGGTTAAGAGCACTGGCTGCTGTTCTTCCAGAGGTCCTGAGTTCAATTCCCAGCAACCACATGGTGGCTCACAACCATCTGTAATGAGAGCTAGTGCCTTTTCTAGCCTGCAGGGATACATGCAGGCAGAAAACACTGTATACATAATAAATAAATAAATTTTTTTTTTTTTTTAAAAATCTTGCCAGGCAGTGGTGACACACACCTTTAATCCTAGCACTCTTCAGAGGCAGAGGCAGATCTCTGAGTTCAAGGCCAGCCTGGTCTACAAAGTGAG